CTTGCTCGAGGTGGAATGGTATGCATTGATGGTGCTGACGATTCTCGAAGCATTCCGCAAATTAACCAGCATTCCAACGTATCCCTCGGTCCGCCAATTCTTCACGCAGACCGAAAACATGGTCGAGTGGTGCGTGATCCTGAGCGTGTTCGCCACTTCCTTCATATACACAGGCAGAACGTATACGTGGCAAAGTCACGTAGGTGCGTTCGCCGTTCTCTGCGGCTGGAGCAATCTTATGCTAATGATAGGACAATTGCCAATATTCGGAGCGTACGTCGCGATGTTTACCAGCGTCCAGGCACAAGTATTCAAGCTTCTATTAGCGTACGCTTGCCTCTTAGTAGGCTTCACCGCAAGTTTCTGCGTGATCTTCCCACGCTCGAAGTCGTTCAGCAGCCCTCACATCGGCCTGATTAAAGTCCTGGTCATGATGACCGGAGAGTTAAACTTCGAGGATCTGTTCTTCCCGCGGGAGGAGGATGGGAAATCGATCGATTCGACTTCTTGGATCCTGCTTCAAGTTTCCGCGCAATTGTCGTTCGTGTTGTTCCTTCTATTCGTCACCATCGTGTTGATGAATCTGTTGATAGGGATCGCGGTCCACGATATCAAGGGGCTGCAAAAAACAGCGGGGCTCGCGAAACTCGTCCGCCAGACGAAGCTCATCTGCGACGTCGAAACGGCTCTCTTCCTCGGCTTGATGCCGAAACGACTGACGAAGTTTTTACGATGGACCGCCCTGCTGTTACCATCACCCTTGAGAGCGGTTTTAACCGTTCGTCCCTTAAACCCGAGAGAGAGCAGGTTACCCCGTGATTTATTATCCGCCGCGCATAAAATCGCGAAGGACAGGAGAAATATATGTGGAACATTGTACAGCAGAAAGAGCAACGTCACCACGTGCACGTATCTAAAAAGCGAGCCGTACTCGACTTTTCGTCGACGTTCTCCAGACGAGAATGACGTTTCTGTCGATGATCATTCGATCAAAGAGGAACTGTCAGAGTTAAAAAAGATCTGCGAGAGGAACAATCAGCTCCTTCGAGATGTCATGATGGTGTTGGTGAACGACAAACACGCCGTCAACAAGGAAGAGGATGAGAATAATTAAAGCTGAGAATTCTTGCAATCTCAATGGCAAAGATAGTATATCGTGTGAATGATCTAAAGAAGTTCGGACCTCAGAGATACTGATATCGTGCATACGAATGCAAGAGAATTTTTCAGCGCAGTCTTCGTGCCATTTTATAATGTACAGAAGTTTCTTCTTTTCAATCTTGAGAATTCGATTATGAAAGATGACAATTACGTGATTTTTAATAATCTCAATCAGTTTGTATCGTCAATCGAGGCACCTTTACGATATTATAAAGTGTGATGTAATCTAACGAAGAGAAAAAAATATGAAATGGAAAATCCGAACGATTAAAATGAATATGATGTGTAATCTGCTTTGAGGATCGTTGATCAAACATATGTTTGGAATGCTTTTAAAGCAATATTCACGATATATTGCAATCTGGCTGCTACTTTTATTTCTATTTTTCCTCTCTCTTTTTTTTGCTGAATTTTTATAATTTTCATGTAATTAGTGATTTTCAATTTTTCGTACATCGGAAATGCAACGAATGTCTTTATAAATTTGTGACAGAAGTTACAAAAAAGCTTGATACGAAATAAATTTAAATAAAGATTTGATAATAATATTTTGATGCACAGGTTTGTACTCAATATTTGTAAAATATTGTACTGCAATATATTAGAGCATCAAATTCCGTCCACGATATGAATAAGATTATAAAAAGACGTAGAAATTAAGTAGAAAACTAATGCAAATAAGCTGAACACAACGAGATGTTTTAATATTTAACAAATATTCTAATTATATAGAAAAGTTGTAAATAAGACTATGTAATGTATTAGTTTTAACTTTTAGGAGATCTTAATTTGTTACTTAATTGTTAACATATAAATAAACTGATCTTGAGATATGTACATTTTTCCAACGTAAAGAGAGATCTTTTTACAATAATATCTAGGAAAGAAATTTATTGACTCGAAGAAATCTGTGCGATAAATAATTAAGAATTAATCATGCTTTAACATGCATTTGAAAGCAATAATTAATAACATCTTCCAGAAGATATTATTTGTAACGTAACAGCAGATGTGACATTTCAAATAGTTTTTTATTAATCGAAAGTTTTCTTTTGTAAAATCAATATTTTAAAAATCTATTATCTATGTACATCACATTTTTTTGCAGAATCTTTCGAAAAAAAATACTTTGAGCAGCTACGATTATTTTTCAATTATTTTTAATATTTGAAAAAAACTTCATCAGTAATATTGTATTTAATTTTGTCCATCGTATGTAATATAATAATTATATAGATATTATAATATTATAATGACGATTATAATCGTGATTTGAAGTATATTCTTTTTGATGTAAATCATAATATGTTATATCATATTTCAATCTATCATTTTACGACTTTGGACATAAATATAATTGCTTGCCAATATTTAGAATTTGTAATAGCATTCAATTGTGATAATGAACGAGTCGCTTACAAAAAGTAGCAGTTGATTATTGAGATCTTAAATTTTTAATTTTATTCAATCTTCGTTTACATGTTATGATTAATAATAACTATTTAAAATACTTCTACTATGTTAAAAAAAATATCTTCTTTGTTATAATTGTATTGATAAATTGAAGAATGAAATATTATATTTCCTTTAATGAATAAATAAATAAATAAATATTTTCACTTCTGAAGACAAAATATTGTGATTCTATTTTGTCCATCCAGCAGTTTCAAAAAATGCATTGTTGCTCAATATTTCACAAAATGTGCAATATCGAACAAGAGAAAATTTTCAAACAAAAATAGAATGTAAATTGTATTTTTATTTTTATTTCATTATTGAGGTATTGTTTACCTCAATGATGATCCTAATGATATTTTAATCCCTTTTAATGGAATCTTATCATATCTTCTTTTGTCGATGCTTTCAACGTGACAGTGATTTGCAATACTCGTTCTCATATTCAACGTTTTTAATTTAGCTGTTTGCTAATACTGTTGGAAACAATATCTCGACTTTCAACTTCTTGTTCTGAAACGGAGAAGGAAAAATCAAAAAATTCTGTTCGTTTAATCAACAGTGAGAAGTGCTTTTTTGAAATGACCATTAACCACTTTACCCACGAAAACATTTAACAATCGTTTCTAGGAATTTCACTGGCAATTAATTTTTCAGCGATTCTAAGTCTCTTCTTACAAAGATCTTGCAATTATCTTTCCGATATGTTAGCTTCATAGGTACGTAACTAATTTTAAACGTGATGTAGAATATTCACATTAATTGAAAAAGAATTTTTATACAAAACACTAATTTTAAAATTTTCCAATATACTGTTAATGTGAAATTTATAAAATAATCAATAACAAAAGAAAATTTAGCCAATTGATAATGAGCATCCCAAAGAAAGTTAATTGTTCCGTTTATATTGGCTTTCCATTTGATCGATCGATAAATTTATAACAAGAGAACAGCATCCTTTCACAAGAGACTATAAATCATGTATCTTATTTTGAAAATATTTGTTTTTTTTTTGTCTATATATTAAATCACACACTTTTCTTTTAAATCGCTGCAGGCGATAAACCTACTTTGATCTTTTGGATATATTCAAATTTAGCCATTAATATTCATGTGATGTTCAAGAACTGCTTGAAAAAAACCGGTTCCAATTCGTAGAAATTCAGAATCTAAACGACTGATATATGCAATCTATGATAGAATACTATTGTTGGTCACGATGAGATCGAACAAGGACGCTGAGTTTCACGTCCGTGAGTGTATCTAGATTTTACGGGAACATTTTAAAGAACGACGAATCTGTGAAAAGACTCACTATTCGCGTGGACTTCTGCAACGTCTAGCTTCAGCTTTTGGAGATCGGTACGCAAGATCGTGTTCAAGGATTCACAACACCGGCTTTCTCCCTATTAATTGCGAAAGTGTTCGAATAGATTATCGATAAAATTTAATTTTTTTTTTTTTT